CTTTGAAATCAGGCTATCCCTAGGGTCACAACATTTCCAACCCCATCTTTGGCTTCAAAGCAGAGCCTCAAAGCACATATCTGTTCCTCTCCTTCAACGTGAGTGAGCAAAGAAGGAAGTAATGGTGAAAGCAATGGGCATGGCACCCTAGAGAGGACAGGGAGTATGGGGAAGAGTCGGAGACACACAGAGAGACACAGTGTCATCAGGAACCTAATGTGCTGTCTGGGTGTGTGGGGTCCGTGCAGAGAGGGCAAGTCTGTGCATAGCTAGCTAATACTCCACCCGTTGCTGGTGACATTCCAGAGAAGGGTCCCCATGGGACTTCTCCATGCTTGGGCACAGCCCAAAGAGCGCTAGGCCCAGCCTGAAGCTAACAGGAATTGCCGAACCAATGTAGACAATCTGCACTGTCAAGCATGTACGTGAATATTTATTTGGGGGTGGGGGTGGGTGAAGAAACACGTATGCAATGAAAAGCGGTCATAGCAAGCCCCACAGTCTCCCAGATGGTTCTCTTTTGGAGGTGGAGCTGCAGGGGGTGAAGGCTGAAAGGGGGAAGCTCCCTTCTAAGGAGTGGGCGCAGGAGGGTCCCTGCCAGCCCCAATCCTGGCTGCTGACCTCTTCCGGGCCGCCTTTAGGATGGTCTTCTCATAGAGCTCTTTTTCACGATAGTGCAGAGGTGGGCCTCGCAGGTACTTCTCTTCTGCCTCTTTGTAGCTGAGCTCATCCAGGGCAGCGATGGAGAAGATGATTGCCTCTGGAAGAAGAACATCCGTGGTGAGCCGGACTTGGTCTCCTCTTGCCAGCGAGAGCAGGGCCTGGTATGCTTCCTTGGATATTTCTTGCAAATGTGTGGCCACGAGATGCAACTGGTCCTCATCCTCTAGGTAGGTCTCAATGCAGAAGACTTCCCTCTTTGATTTCCAGAGGTCGTCCAGCCACCTGGATGGTTTCTTACCCTTCACGATGTCCAGCAGGTGCTGGTCAGCCCCCTTTTTCTTCACGATGAAGTCTACGAGCTTCTGGTTGGCTCTGTCCCAAGCGGCTCTCATGCGGTCAGGCAGGAGTTTCTTGCGGGGCCTCTTCCCACCGGGGGCGGTCTCCTCCTCCCAGTCTTCCAAGTCGGCATAGCTCACCTTGGGGAAATCAATGCGCAGGTCGCCCTCTTGAATGGCTCTCCTCAGCGGGTAACTGGCTCGGGCGGTGTAGTAGTCCATAAAGGAGCCCCGGAAGGAGCCACAGGCGAGGTCCTCTCTGTAGCGGTCGATCACCGAGAGGCACCAGTTGATGCCCTGGCTGTACACTTTGCTGGCTCTCTGCAGGAGTGATAATTTCTCCCCACAGCCCAGGAGCTTCAGCTTGCGGAGAGGGACGCGGACACCCCTGCGCTCAAACTGCATGTTGCCCTCGATCAGCAGCACTCTGGCCGTCTTGTCGTTCTTGCTGACATTCTTGACCACCGCCGGCCAGAAAGGGTGGTCCTGGAATTTGAACCAGACCAGCATTCCTCGTTGGATGGTATTCGTCTCCTGGGCAGAGGCCACACTGGTGGCTTGGCAGTCTTCCTGAACTCCAGCGGCTCTCCTCTTGACCCTGGCATTACGCACCTTGGAGTGCACTCGAGTTTCCAGTCCTGAGAGCCCACATTGTGCACACAGCACATGGATCTTCCTTTTCCTGACAGCAATGCGGGCTGATCTTCGCAGTCTCGGGACTGGAAGCACGCAGGCTGCCGATGCCCCCTCTGAGTCTGGCCTCCGGGTCTGCGGGCCGGGGTCCTCCTTGTTCTCTGGGAGGGTGGTCTTCTTCCTTTGGGCTCCAATGGCTGGGATCTCTAGGCCGCCACACTGTACTTGCTGCCTGAGAGCTTTGGGCAAGGAAGAGGCGTGTCTCGGGGGCCCAGAGGCAGGCCGATGCTCATTGTTAGCCCGGGCACCATCCCTAGAGGCCCGGGTGCTCAAAGCCCTGAGCTTGGGTGTACTCAACTTTCTCTTGCCAGGATTATCACCAGCATTTCCTGTTGGCGTCTTGCAGGAACTTGGCCATACTCTGGTGCCCCTTAACATATTCCCTTGCATTTCAAAGTAAGGGGGCTCTACAGCAGTGTGCGCCTGGGCTTTCCCCCCTTGCACTGCAGGCTCATTCCATGAGCCCATCAACACAAGTCCTGGGCGGCCTCGCTTCCCAGGACTCCTGTGGGAGAGCCCTTGGCCTTTCTGGTTGCCCCCTTGGGAGTGCTGACACTGGTGTGGGCTGGAGCTGGTCTCCTGTTTCGGAACCGTGGGAGCTGCTGTGCTGGTTCTTCGGCCACCTTCCCTTTCTCCTTGATACAAGCGGGTTCCCTCGCCCAGCACATCCAGTGCCACCTTGAGGGCTCTTCTATATGCCCTGGTCTGCCCTGGCGAGCCATTGCCCCATGACTCCTCTCCGGCCAAGGAGGCGATGGTTACGATTTCAGACTTGGTTAGGGGCCTCGCCTCGGTGCTCCTCACTCTGGTCTTCTCACCAACAGAGAGAATTTGGACCTCCAGGAAAGAGGCCCCTCTCTTCTTACTATGGGCCGAGGTCCTGGGTCTGGTCAACACCCTTGCAGGCCACAGCTGGCCCTTCCAGCCACAGAGCACATACTCTGCAGAGTCCATGGCGATGGAACTCTGGGGCTGTTCTGATCAGGACAGGGTGACTCCCTGGGTTGTGGTGGGAACTCTTCCCTGCTGGTCGTCTCTGGCCTGCTCCCCAGCCTGTGGTGATGTCCTCCCTCCAGAATCTGGTAGAGAAGCTTAATCTGATGGCCTCTCTCAGGGTGGTGTGGGCATGTCCTGTAAGTGTGGGAGAGGGAAACAGAGCTGCGTTAGGACGGAATTAGCCTTTAAGTGGATACTGAAGCAACAGCTCAGTGAAGTGAGGAGAGACAAAGCAAGGGAGTGCCCAAAGTCTGTCGTTCTACATGGATGAGGGTGCGAGCGGGAGAAGATATGGAAGGATCCAGAGCAGATGTGTAACACATGCTTGCCCACTCTGAGGCTGGGGTGGTGAACTTCCTCCGGGAAAGACGAGTGTCTTTACGTGGCTTTTGTGTTGTCCTGCCCATCCAATACCTTGGGGGCTCCCTGGGATTCTGTCCCAGGGCGGAGCCTCATTGCTTTCTTTCCTAGGGAGCTAATCCCACCGTGCCCGGTCCCAGAAATCTTGTGGACACCTAGTGCACCTTGCCTTCTGCACCAGTATGATACTGGGTTGAGGAACAAGGTGGGTGCGGAAATCTTCATGGTGATTTGCATAACATGGCAAGTAAGGATGGTTGCTATCATAGTCATAGCTTCTGGCCTCCCTCCCCTTCCTGTGTGCCCTCCCCCATCATATTTTGGTTCTGATCTCTTGCTCCCAACTCTGTGCTGGACCTTGCTATGGGATCAAGTGTACACATGGCACAAAGGAGAGCCCCCCCCCCCAAGGAAAGCACTTCACCGTGGTGAATTGCTTTCTAATTGGCAGACTCGGTAGTGTCAGATGAGAGCCAACAGGGTAAGTGTTTCCCTTGGTATTGCCCACTCTCCTGCTGCAACCTCAAGTCCATAGACCCTGCACACCCGTATCTCCCCCACCTTATGCTTCTAAGTGGAGCCTCGTCCCTTTCTTCTCACTGTGAGTGGGTGTGTGTCAGGGTCTACTACTTTCTTGCCTGCTCTTGCCTTGGGCCCATGGTTTCCTATCAGTAGCGAGCATGCCGTGCGTGTCGTGCATGCTCTCTGGAAACAAAGCCCACATCTGTCTGATCCTCAGGAGAGGCCCACTGAGGGTGCCGATGACCACACACGGAAGAACCACGGAGGGCTCACAAGCCACAGTGGCTCACTGTTCCTGCCAAGATGCAGGTGGCTTCTATCATTACCGGGCCAGCACCAGGCACAGTGAGGCAGAACACTGTGGACTCGGGGCTCCTGACGCAGTTTCCTGAGGATCCTGATCATTTTGGGGACTCCTGCTACCCCATGACCCCTTCTGTGAGTGTGGACACACCTACCTCTCCCTTAGGGACTCCAGGTCTTACCCATTGGAATTCCCGACCCTACAGCAATATGGGAGGCAAATGATATTTGCTTCATTCCCCCAGCCCTCCCCTTCCCGCCCTCTGTATCCATAAACAGCTGTTGTTACATTCTAGCTCCAGATCCCTATTCACTGAGCAAATGTGCAGTGTCCCCTCTTCTTATTCCCGTTCAAGTCTTACCGACTCCCAATCTGATCTCACAGTGCATAAAGTGGCTCTCAACCTGCAGGAGTCTAGGTCTGTCCCAGTCTACACCTGCTGGGTGATGCAATAGTAAATGTGGACTGTGCAATCTGGGGCCCAATTTAGGGATCACCTTTAGTAGCTCTTCCTCCGAGGAATCTGTGCAATCTCACAGGGTGGGCCTCCTCTGATCCAGCCTCCTTGGAGTCCTCGGCCACAGGTATCTGCTGAGGACACAGAGGAAAACATAGACACCCCATTTACTTCCGACTGCCCTCTGCTGGATCTTCCTAGCACATGCTCACCAGCAAGGCTGATTGAGCACCATCTAGCCCAAACATGCTCCCGTATGCAAGTACCACACCTCAGGCACGAGAGAGCCCATCGCTCACTCGGTGCCCTTAGCAATCACGGAGGCCCGCGTTATAGTTATAGAATGCAAGCTTTCCACCCCAGGCAGGGGTGCCTGCAGGAGCTTCCGCTTCCCTCGGGCGCGATGTTCTCAGCCTCACACACTTCCTGAGTTAGAAAGCATGCCCGGGAATACCAAGTTTGCGTTCAAGCCCACATGGCAGGACATCCAGGCAGCATCTGTAACTCAGTCACAGAGAAAAGCGTCTGCACCCATGTCAGGCCACGCTCTCCCCGGCGTGTGTATTCCATCTGTGCATGCCTACCGTGCCATGCCATAGAAAAGCCCTTCGGTCTTCTACAACCTGCTTAAATATTGTCAGTTTTGCCATCTGCCTCCATCATTTCAGTCATGATCTCTAGTGCACTACCTTCATCAGTTACCTTTCCGATGAAAGCAGCAAAGTCTTCCCCAGAGGTGCACGGAGAAGGGTGCAAGATGGAGTCCTGAAATCCCTGTCTCAACACATGCTTTGGCCCCGTGCCCGAGGCCTTCTGTCAAGAACTC